ATAATTAAGATTTATTTTATTTTATAGAAGTACTTTGCTTCTAGTTCAATACATTCTTCAGAACACAGTTCTAGTACATTTCTTCATCCATCTTTCTTTTCTTTTTCTTTTTTTTCCTTTTCTTTTTTCTTTCCTTTATTCGTGAAGATAATTTACAACTATTCTAATTACGATTATCCAGCTTTTTGTTCTCCTTGGTGTATTTTTATAATATTTATCTACGTACATCTTACGTAAATCGAATCTTAAAACCTTCTAATCTATTTATTTACACAAAACGATCGTCTCATCGTTTTCTCTCTTTCTTTCTTTTTTTCTTCCCATTTCTTTACTTTTCCCAATTCCTCTCTTATATTTTTTATTAAAGATAATAATAATCGAAATAACGCTATTTATTATAATTATTATTATTATTAACGATAAAACGTGGAAAGGCTTCGGGCTACTTTCAAGGTACACGAATTTCTCAAAGTCATGATCGCTAATATTTACAGGCTCGGTGTGCATTTACAAAGTGTTTCTTTCTTTTTCTCGACAGAAAACATGTCTCCCCGTCCTAAAAAAAACACCGTTGCAATTTTTTTTATTCCTTCTCTTTCTTATTTCGTTTACGCGATTTCATTCGACCAATTCATCAAATTTTTCTTTTTCTCGTTAGAAATTTCACGCGAAAACATTAATTTGATTTTGAAACAACAGCCGTTCTGTTTTGAAAAAGCGATAGGATTGAAATTTGCGACGCGTTATTTAATCATTTGCTTGACAACGCCGAGATTATGGCAGTGCTTAGGTGAAAAATGTCTGTCTCTTTATTGTGGGAAGAATAATTTAATAAGAACGATATGTGTGTTGATACACGATTTTGATTCACCATAGTAGAATTTCTAGATCGCATAGACAACCACCGCGAATGTTTTAACATTTAGATTTCTATTTTATTTCGAGGCTCTTTGATCTTTACGTATGAACGAAGAAAAACGATTTTACCCGAGAAAACGTGACTATACAGGAAGATATTCGTCATCTCTCGTTCGATTTTCATCGGATCAAGTTTATGTGTTCATTTAATTTCATTTTTATTATCATCAAGAATTGTAACATAATTTATATATAAAAAAAATGAAGATGATCATAAAAATCGAACGAGAAAGTTATCGATATTCGCGAGTTTGCGTAATAAACGCGTGTAAATCTATGTTTGTCTATCTGTGTGTTTGTGTCTGTGAGTGTGTGTGTATTATATTTTTTTCTCTTTTTCTCTTCGTAATATTAAATTGTGTGCATTAGTACTACTACACTTGTACGTCTGAGTTGAAATATTGTATACGCTATCTTTGAAGATCATAGCGATGCAATTATTTATCATTAAAACAATTAATTAAGGCCTCTTAGTTCCTAAAAACAGGTCAATATGGTTCCTTAACGACTGACCACTTCTATTCTCATCGTCATTATTATTTATCATTCTAATTTTATCAAATGTCAAATAGTTCTTTTTTTACTTAATACAATAGGATTTTTTCCTGTAATTAAATCCTTGGTACTTGCTTTTTTTCTTTGTATTGCAATGTACGTTTTATTATATTTCTCATTTTTTTTTCATATACATATAGTTATACATGTATATTGATCATAATTTATATTCATTGAAATTTTAGATTCGACACGAGAAAAAAAAATAAAAAAGAAAACGACGACCGACACGAACGTGCCTATCTTTGTGTTTTTTTTCAGTTTTTTCTTATTTCCGTCATCGAATGCTCATACAGTTTACATATACATCAATTTATTAAGTTTAATACGAGAGCACATACCAAAGAAACAAATACTCTTTCTATTTCTCTCTTTCCTTCTTTCGTTTTGTCTTGTTTTTTTCTGTAATAGTGGTGCAGTGTTAAATGCCCCGACCTATCAACTACAAACTGGCCAAATTGTATTTGCATTATTTATTTTATTTTTTTAATTAGCGTCTTTAAGTATACTCATCGTCATCTAAATTGTTTAATAGGAAACATTAATTACACGCGTTCATTCTTTCTCTCTCTCTCTCTTTTTTTATTTTTTTTTTTCTCATCATATTTATTCAGACGAACGCACCTGTACTTTACATAACTTTCATTCTCTGTTTACGATATATTTTTCAAAAGTAACTACTTCATTCTTGACTTATTGTTAGTTAATACAATTGCAATAGCAATAAAGTGTCAAAGTGACGAAACTTTGGACAAATCTACCCTACTCCCACACAATGCCTTTAAAATGAATTTTACTTTTTTTTTGCTGTTCAGCACGCATTTATTTACATTCACTTTTTCTTTAAGTGAAAAAGAAATAAAAATATGAAACTAAAAACAAATGCAACGTCATTGAGTTTTAATGATGGGAAGAAGATTATTTTTTACTCGTAGATCCTAAAATATTTTATTTATCGAACTGCAAATATATTACGCGACCGAGTAGATAATAAGTGGACGATGATCCAGAAAACGAACGAACGAAATTAATCCTCGATAGATCGATTAAAATCTTTATATTTAAAAAAGACGATTTAAGGAGTGAGAATTGTTTTTTGGGAGCTATAGATGGGGAAAAAAGGTAGAAAGATAGGTAATAAAAAAGTGTATAGAAAAAATGAATGGAATGTTGTACTTTGAATAATTCATAGATCAATTAAATGATCTATACGAAGATCACTCCTTTTGTATGTGTTCTCATGGATCTAAGCACATCCAAGTTCTACCGATCGTTGAAATAGTTTGTTTCACTTTCAAAATCAATCGCTTAAGTGAATCGTCCTATAATTAACACGTTTAATTGAACGTTTTCCTATTGGACAAAGAAGTTTCCTGGTGGCTACTTTAGGATAACAAAAAAAAATGTTTGCATAAATCGATCAATGAATTTTCATCGTTTCTAAGTAAATGTACAAAAAGTGAACTTGCAAATTCCATAATTAAATCGAAATTATTGCAATGACCAAGATTACGACAATGAGCAAGCAATCGTAAGAGAATTGTTATTATAAATCATAAATGATTATGAACTTTAATAAAAATATAATAATAATAATAATTAAATATAGATCTAAATAATGATTGGATGATATTAATTTCATAAAAAAGATTCATTAGAAACGATGTTAATTCTAATGTTCTCGAAATAGTAGAACAACGTGCGTGTATGCGTGTGTGTGTGTGTGTTTCTTTTATTTTGTCTTTAAACAACAATGGATTATCATTTATCTAAAAATGGGGATATCAGGTAAATTTATATACACGATGATTAAGATGAATTTATATACAAATGAGGTCTGTGCTTTGTGTAAATGTCTATCTGTATGTGTGTGTACATACATGTGAATTATCTCCAAACGAGTGGGTCCATTGTTTAGTATTTTTTCTTGTTTTCTTTTCTTTTCTTTCTTTCTTTAATAATTTTTAATTAGAAGAAAAAAAAATTCGTTTCTATCGTGAGAGATACGGAGAAACAAAATTCGATTTGTCGATTACATGATAATTAGCAGGTAAACAATTCGCTCGCGGTAAATAATTACGATTATTAATAATAATTAGAATTATTGAAACGTCATTTCATTGTTTTTCCCTGTTCTATGCGCTCGAATTTTATTATTTTTATTTTCTTCTTCTTCTCCTTCTTCTTCTTATTCTTTTTATTATTATTTTTATTATTATTATTATTATTATTATTATTATTATTATTATTATTATTATTATTATTATTATTATTAATTATTATTTCAAGATACACGCGACCAATTAACTGTACAATGATTTTTTCTTCCTTTTGTCCTTATTCTCCTACCAAAATGAAATTTTTGTTGTTTCCTCCTTATTCGTAAGGTTCGTTAACGCAATAACAAAATAAAAGTGGTTGCGTGTATTCCTTTCCCTCTTGCGAATACGGGAACATCGTTTAAAAATACTTAAAGATAGATAAATTACTTAATTACGACTATCGTTATTTCTTTCTCTCTTTCCTTCTATCATACACGTGCTCATTCATTCTAATCCTAACATATACATTCACTTTCTCTCCCAGTCTACCTCCCACCCTCTCGGTCTTATCATTCTTCCTCATTTTAATCATATTAAAACTCAATTTGAGTTTACTAGCGTAATAAAGAGAACACATGTGATTCTTGTCCACTTAAAGAAACCAAGAGAAATAAAAGAGATGAAAGGAGAAACGAAAAACAAAAAAAGAAGAAAGAAAATAATTATAGTATATACGATATATATGTGGAAAAAGAAAGTAAATCAAAACGAGCGACACAATTATAGCACTTACTACATATTCTTCTAAATACAAATATGTACGTTTATCTAAAGTTCCATTTCTAGTTTTATCTTTCTTTCTTTCTGTATTTTTTTTCCTTTTTTTTTCCTTCCTTAAGAATATATTCCCTGTGAAACTACGAATTCCTTCATCTAGACTTACTTAAAATCTAAAATCACACTCAGAACGTATAATTATCGTTATTATTATAATTATATATTGTTATTATATTATTAGCAAATGAATTAATTAATAATTTATGTAATTTTTAATTAATTAATTCATTCATTCATTCATTCGTTCTTTCCATACCATTAGACTAATCGTTTTTTTCTTTACTATTATGCACTAAACCATCATAAGTCTGGCTCCTTTCTTTTTTTTCTTTTCTCACGGATCTAAGATTCTAATATATTATAATCCTTCGATCACGTGCATATACAATGAAGAATAATAATAAAAAAAAAGCCACTATTATTTACTATAGTAACTTTTTTCTTTTTTCTTTGTTTCTATTCTCTTTCTCTCTCTTTCTCTAACCATTTATTCAACCATTTTTTAAATCAAATCTTCGCTCGTACAATTCATCTCGGGCAGTGTATTTTAAATGGAATATACAATGTATCATTTATTTTAATCGCGTGATCCACACACACACGCGTCCGATCGTTGTTCTCTTTCTAAATCGATCTTTAGTTTGTGTATTTTTTTTCTAATTGTCCGAATAAGAAAAGAAATAAATTAATAAACGCTTCCATCTATTTACCGATTTAACAATCGTTTCTTTGTTTCCTCATTTTTGTCTCGTCTAGACTTGAATTTTTTTTTTTGTTAATTTTATTTAGAAATGACAATTGTCCACGATCTAATATTTGCATTTTTCCTTACGAAATAGGACAAAAAAACAATCAAAGATTTAGAAAAGAAAACAAAGCCGAAAAGTCAATGAAATTTTGCCAGAGCGAACTCGTTCGCATGGATCAAGATGAACGTCGATTAAACTCGATGATTAAATAGGAATCTTTTATAATTTTGTGAAGTTTACGTATATATATATAATATTTTTCGTACGTCGATCGATCGTATTCGCGATTAGAATATATAACTTAAAACTAATTATGATTAGATCGATCGAGGCTATAATATTATACATAATTTCGCCATGTTCGTTTAAACAATTTCGATGAACTTTTATTAACACACATCATCGGCAACAGATTTTGTCGAGTAACATCAAAATCTTTCTAAATGATTTTACGATACAAGATTAGAGCAAGATTAGATGTTTTTCTTTTTTTTCCAAAATCGAAATATCTTGGAACAACATGCTGCTGCTGCTTCGGTTACGATTATTTTTTCTAAACGACGACGAGAATGAAAAGAGGCTCTTCCATTCATTCTCCGATACAATAATTGTACGTTTTTAGTTATTTCATTTTATTTTATTTTATTTTATTTTATTTTATTTTATTTTATTTTATTTTATTTCAGTTTTGTATCGCCGACAAGCTTACGATCTACAATGCGATTCAATTGAAAAAATTCGAATTGGCTGGTCGGCTTAAAAATCGATCCTCTTCCTCTAATCGTTCATGACGATTCGACTACCACGAAATGTAACATTCGTGAGATTAATAGTTTTATTTATCTTTCCAGTCTCTTTATTTTTCTATTTTCATAGCCTTTTTCTTGGAAACTCTTTCTCATGCTCTTTCAAAAATCAACGCAACTTTCTCGACGGTCGTCATATTTCCCATAACAATGAAAATCATCTCTTTCGATATCATATGGAAAATATTTTATTCTAACCACAAATGGTCTTGCCAAATCGATTCTTCATATCGATTCGACATATGTTTATGTATACACATATCAAATTTGTTTGTATGCGTGTATGCATAAAACATATGGGACCGAAAAATCTTCTTTCATTAAAACCATGCGTAGTGTTTCTCTCTTTATTTCAAAAAAGACAAACCGATCTATCAATCATTCGGAACACGTTATATAAAACACGTTAGATAATCGTAAAAACTTACGATTAAAGCGGATCGATTTAATCTCGAGAAAATACGTACTGCGCGTCTTAATAATAAATATTCATTAATACAATTAATTAATATGCCATATATATTTGACTACATACGTTAATGTAATCAAATTTGCATATTTAATCAAGTTTACATATACGCGCATTTAACAGGTTCACAACAGGACTTTATTTTGAATGTGTTTCACCATCGGCCAGCACAAATTTCTGTACTTTCAATTATATGATTTCAACTAGAACGTTTGTACCATTAATGATGGTACAAGGCGGCCAATGGAATAACTATGCACATGCTAAAAGCCATTATGGACAAGTTAAACCCGAGTTTTAATTTCTAAGTAGAGATGATCCAGAGAAAAAGTAGAAGATCAAAAGAGACTGGATTATCGTATCTATGAAACGACATTAATCATTCTTATCGGTTGGTCTTCTTGTTCTTTTTCTTTTTTTTCTTTTTTTTATCGTTTTTAGTATAGTTTTCGTGATCGTTATTTTTTGACACGAGCCTCGGAACGTCTCGGAATCATCTCTAACGTTTGACAAATATCTCATTTTTCTATCTCAATGTACTAGGCTCCTCTTTCTCGTCGCGTTATTTTTGCGATGCGTCTGCCCTCGCCCTTCCCTCCCTCTCCACCCCGTTCCTATTCCCCTTTCCTTTATCTAAAGACTTACACACACACACACACACTTCCTCTTTCTCTCTCTCTCTCTCTTTCTTTCTCTCCCCCTCTCTCGCGCTTGTGTACAATATTTATAATAATATATATATCTATGTATCTATATTTATATTTATACGTACATGTGTATTCTTCTCGTGTATATGTATATATGTGCGTGTAAGTTTGTATGTAGAAGGGTGTATGGTTTTTTTTATGTGTTTTATGTATATATCGGCTAGTCGAAAATTGAAACTACAGTGTACTCGGCAGTCTATTGTCTCTCTTGGCTTTTCTTTGCTTTCTATCTTTTTCTCTCTCTCTCTCTCTCTCTCACTCTCTCTCTCTCTCTCTCTCTTTCTCTCTATTTTACTATCTTTTTCTTTATTTTCTATCATCTTCTCCGTTTCTTCTTTCTTCCATCGTTTTGTCTTCCTGGATAAGAGTATTTCTCCTCCTCCTCTTCCTTCTTCTGCTATTTCTTCTGCTATTTCTTCTTCTTCTCTACTTCTCTTTTCTCGAAAAGATCGTCCAAACGACGACGTAAAAACGAGAATACGTCTGAGGAATATACCCAGGGAAACACGGTCCATTCTTGTGAGTTACGTGTCTTTTTCTCTCTATTTCTTTCTTTCTTTCTAGCTTTCATTTATTCTTTGTTAGTGTTTTTCTTATTTTGTATGTCTTTCTTATTCCACGGAGAAGATTTATTCCCATTGGTGAGGAGAGGGTGGCAGTTCCGAAGGATGGGCCACCGTCGAGCTGCAAGTCGTATTAAAACAATATTTTTAAATGACTGTCTTTTTAAATAGGAAACAAAATATATATATCTAAATATTAAAAAACAAAAAAAGAACAACAAAAAATAGGATTCACAAAAGGGTTAAGGGTTGTTAAGTTAGCAACAAGGTCATATATATTTCAGGAAATTGCGAGGGGGGGGGAAGGGGTTTCGATGAAATTATTCGACGAATACTCTTTTATTACTTATTAATTTTATATTTAAATATTATTATATATGAATATTTTGTGTTAATATGCGCTCATATTCGTCGAATAATTTTCATCTTTTTTTCTAGCTAGTAAGTTATTCTACTGTCAAATCTTTGAATATTTTTTTTTAATAGCAACGTTATTATGTAGAACAATGATTCAAAGATTTGATTGTTTAACCGACAAAATCTATGATTTGTTTATTGCTAATTATTATTATCTTTTTTTTTAAGAGCATACATTTTGTCAATTTTTTGCATTTTTCTCGAATTTGTCGACGAGTATCAGCAGCACGTTTCCCAAGCACTAAATTTATAATAATTGCAGTACTATAAAATCATGAAAAAATAAATTTATTTTATAAATGGATACACACTACGTACTCGTGACGAAGTCTAAATTCGAAGAGTTGTATCGATAAACTCTACGAATATAAAAGAAAAAGAAAAAGTAGCAAAATACGTAAAAAAGTGAACAAACAAATAAATAAATAAGTATAAACTCATTGTACTACACATCTACTGGAATTTTCTTGCTCGTCTCGTTTCAACTCTTCGAATTTTCGAGTATCGCTATTAAAATATCGTCCTAAGGACTTAGATTCGTTTGATTAATTAAATACTTTACGAAAACGTGCGTTTATATATATATATATAGAAGGGGATGCTTATCGTAAGAAAAACAACAGAAACAACGCTCATCTGATTTCCATGCAGCTGTCAGCATGGGTGACAGCCGAAGGGGGCGTAAAAGCTCTTTCATATTTTTTATTTTTTTCAGAGACACTTTGATTTTATTTCTTTAAAAAACAAACAAAAAAATTAAAAATCACAAAAAAATCGATAAACTCTATTCCGATCTTTTTTCATTTTTAATATTTTCTTTTTTTTCCTAAGTCTTTCAGTTTTTGCATATTTTCCCTTTACCTTCAAGTTACTTTTTTTGAATTTTCTCTTACACCGATTTTCCTCCTCACATCTCGTTTCTCTCCTTGTCCTTATATTTGAAATCTTTATCTAATATTATTTTTTTCTTTTACTACCCTTCCTTCTTTCCCTCGGCATATTTTTTATCTTTTTTTTTTTTTATTTTTTCCACGCGAAAAACGGGCCACAACCGCGGTGGGTCTCCTTTGGACTTTGCTTTGCCAAGTTCTCCTTAGCGGAGTAAAAAAAAGAGAAGAGAAGGAACGGACGGAGAAGGAGAGAGAAAGAGAAAGAGAAAGAAAAAGAGGAGGAAATAGTAGGAGAGGATTTAGAAAAGCGTGGCATGAAAATAGCGCGTAAACAAAGGATAGCTTGAAAATGGACTGATATCTCTTTTTTTTTTT